GGTGCAGAGCTTGGCGGTGCTCAAGGGTGTTGCTGATGCTTTCAGGACCGACGAAGAGGGCGCGCAGAATGCCGGTGCATTGGCAGATCTGATGTGGAAAAGGGTGAGCAAGGCAAGAAGTAGCGCTAATTCTGCGGATCAGGACCACGCGGGCGGCAAACTGAAGTCGCTTTCGATTTTTCAATGCTCTTCCACAGGACTCGACGACCACACAACCTGGCCAGAGAGGTCAGGTATGGCTAGATCGCGTTTGGCCTGGTACTTCCAACGACCATGGCTCAGCTCCGAAAGCAGACGACGACGTGTGCTACATTGATATTCACGTCGAGCATCGCGACGCTACGACCCGCTCGCACCGTCTAGCATCCTCTACGAGCGTGTCGTTGTCAGACGTGGCTCCTTTGATAGGTCTCGACCTCACTACGGAAGATCGAGAAAGGCTAGACGAAGAAGCCTTGCAGGGTCTGCGCGGGATTCGAGCTGCGCAGACCATCCGTCAGAGGAAGAGGAGCATACACGAGGAACCGTCTAGAGAAGAGCTGGAACAAGCGGAGAAGCGTGCTCAGGACGTCTTGTCGCAGAGGGATAGAGAGAAGTGGATGTTCGGAAGAGAAAATGAGGCAGACGAAGATTCGGCATCACCTCAGCACAGGACGAATATGGGTCGGCTCAACGACAGGCACGGAGACCTTTTACCTGCTCAAGGTCAGCATATCGTCGTTCGACTCACGCTCACGCCCTGCGAGGCAGGAGAAGCCGATCCAGACGTGGGTCCCATGTTCCAAAGTGGTCCCAAATCAGTCCACGTGCCAGCTCTGACTTCGGGCGCGGGAGGTCTGACCTTTCTCGACGCGCTGATGCGTTTCGGTAGGTCTGAGAAGTTGGACGATGCGCAGAACAAAGCTGGATCGAACCGTCGAGCGAAGAGGGACATGAAGCTGGGCGGCGGATTTTCGGGAGCTTTCAAGCTTCCCGACGGGCACGTCCTTGGTAGTCCGCCGGACGAGCGCCCTCGCAAGCTAAATTTTGGCCCGAGGACCGACAAATTTGCGATGGGCAATAGCAAGGCCGATGATCAGCATCGAGGGCGCCCTCGAGGCTCAGGTCAGAATGTGTTCTGATGCTGGATCAGGACAATCCGGAAGCTGTCCACTGTGGCAACAGGAGGACTCGGCAGCTACGAATCTCTCATAGGTACGCCTGACAACGACACCTTGTACTTTTTCACATACAAACGTCGCGAACTGTCAAAGTCATGCAGGTCACGATTCTAGCATTTCCTGCATGATGTTTCCAGTGCAACTCGAATGGCTTTTCATTTCGCAAGTCGCAGCGACGCATCTCTGCCGTCGTGATGCCCTGATTATCAAGAGATGGACAGACCAGACTGGGCGATGTAAGCTTCCAGAGGCTGTCTAAGCTCGGCGTTGGTTCTCGACAAGAGCTGCGGGACCTGAAAGATGGACCGCAGCAAGTATTCAGCAGACGACGCACCCAGAACAGCACAGCACAGCGCCTTGATCAACTCACCACGCCTGGAACAGCCTTCGAAGCGATCGCAATACCTCTAGATAGGTACTCGACCGGCTCCGCATTCGCAAAGGAAGTCCAATCCCTATTGGGTGGGGCGCTCGAAACGATGACGCTAAAGCTAGCTTGAAAGCCCGTCTCTTCCCAATCTTGCGCAAAGATCTCTTCTGCTGCTGCGCTGCTGCTGTCCCCTGTAGAAGCAATGGATCTGTCTTGCAAAAGCCGAAGGATACCACTCAAAAGGCTCGGCCTAGGAAATGCGCCAAGCGCGGGAAACGACAACCACGCAAGCGTTAGCACGTTGCTCGCCATCAACCGACGTCGCACAGTACGCACCAGGCATTGGCGTTAGGAGTGTGAAGGAACTCTGGGCTTTCCGTCAAAAGCCTCGAGAAGCCCACGGCCACCAAGCGCTTGGTGCGCTGAGGGATTTTGGCCAATTCGCCAATCACGATGCCGTCAACGATTTGAGGGAAAAGCCTGCGCGCGACAAGAGGTTCAGGAACGTTGAGTCGTTGTGCGAAGGACTTCTACACGTATGCATTCCGGACTCACCCGGGCTGCACAGCATCGAAGGACTGGATGACGTAGGAAGGATAGCCATCCTGCTGTACGCAAGCCCACCGGGCCAAGAACTCGACAAACACTCTGCTAAACTTTTCAGTCTTGTTCGTTTGAAGTCTGTTGAGCATGAGGGTGAGCACAGCAGCTCTGTACTGGTTCATCTGTTCCTTTGGCAAGTTTTCGAACAGGCTATTCAGGAGGGCGAAGCCATGCTCGTCGTTGATCTTGCTGGCGATGAGCTGTTGATAAATGCCCAGCATCGCTCCAATTCGGCCTTCCGCGACGATTTGTGCTGATCCCCGATCAAGGTATGCCTGAAGCAAGCGGACCAAGGCAGGGACATTGCCTCTGGACGCCCACAGGGTGGGCGTAAGTAGAGAAGGTAGCAGTCCGGTATAGATTTCGGGTAGTGACCCATCCGTCGACTTGTGCAGCTCGAGCATCTGGGCTAGAATTTGAAAGACGTACGGTGCAAATTCGGCCACATCGCCTTGCAAGATCGTCGAGAAGGGTCGGCTAAGGGTAGATTCGAAGGTGGCGATACTGTTGGGATCTGCAGCAGCGACATACCTGATGAGGGCAGCGATGCTCTCAAAAGTGTATTGGCTGAATTTGGGGTTGCTCGGGTTTTTGCTAATCTCAGTCAAGATGCTGTTGAGAGATTCCAGGATTGGCTGATAGAAGGGTGCGAGCCTTTCCCTGCATGTCAAAATCACTCTCATGACGCACTTCATAAGGTAGTCGTTCTCCGCCATCTTCTCGGGGGTGGTCGCGCCCAGAATGTTCCTGTACAGCGCCATTAAGATGCTCTCAGCAAATGGCTGCACATCTTCCGATGAGAACAGCAGCTTGCCGGTCTCTGGCCCAGATTGTTGCTTGAGAAACAACACCCTTTCGATGGTGATGGCCGCATAAGAGCAAGTGACGTAATTTTGAGACTCGAGATGCCTCACGAGCAAAGGAAGCACGGACAATAGCTGCTCCTTTGTCAATTGTTGTCTGAACGTGTGCAGATACTTGATGGCATCCACTTGCAAGATGGGATGCACTGAGTCCGAATCGGCTTGCAAGTCGCCGAAGACATTGTCGCTGAACCATTGAACCACATTCACGAGCGCATTCATCGACGAAGCACCTTGGCTTGTTCCACCTGTGCTCGCAATGCTGCTCAAGAGGTACACGGCCGTATCCTTTCCCCTCCATTTTTCTTGAGGAGCTGCGGCGTACTCTTGCAGATACTGGTTGATGTACCGCAAGATGATCGCAGTAATCTGCTGTGGGAACACCTCCAGAAGGGCCTTCGTAAAGGTTGTGGCGCTCTTGCGCCTGGTGTCATTGTCTGACGCAGCGAGCGAGCGAATCATGAGCCTTGCCAGCTCGAGCGGCGAACCGCGTGGCCACCTATGCCAAGACACTCACCTCCACCTTCAATCCCGACGGTCGCGAATTCCCTCCTCACCCACTCGATGGGCTCATCCTCAAACATCTCCTCGTCCTGCTCTCTCAAGCTAATGTTGGGCAGAATGATGGCCTGAATGAAAGCCTCCAACGTGGCCTCTGACTCGAAAGTCGCTCGTTGGGATGGCATTCGCACTACTGTCGATAGGAAGGAGATCGCTCTCGTCACAAGCTGAGCGTGTAGCGAGAGGCGGCCGCGTCACAGTGAGTCCATTACAAGTACGCGAGCTCTGGCAGAAAGCGAGCAGACTGCGGATCACGGCTCAATCATCGCCGCACTCACCAAATCGAATTTCTCGCCTCTCCCAGCCTGGCCGAGCATTTCCCAAACAGCTTTGACGTACTGGGGAACGAAGGTCTCAAATACGTCCAGATATCTTTGCGCGTACAATTCTGCGATGGCGCAGATCTCCGCTCTGGCCTTTTGTCCCGCGGCAGGCGAAGCATCATCCGGGTCCCCTTCGAGCGGCGCTGCGAGCGCTTGGTTGGCCACGTACAGACCCGAATCGACCGATGTTGGATGCAGGTACCGCAAAAGCAGAGGCAGAATAGAAGAGATGTTTTCTTCAAAGTCCGGTGGAAGATCCTGAGCTGATAGATCGTGGTAGATCTGCAACACGAGCACCAGTGTGGATCCTAATGTCGCAGCGGAGCCGGCTGTCGCGCTTTGGAGCGCAGCATCTGTCCGCTGTAGCGATGATGCAGTCGTTGCAGCAGTGAAGTGAGATGCATGCTGCACATTGAATAGCCACGCCTTCACTCACCTGGAGCAGGTCCAAATAAGGTTTGGCAAACTTGGCAAGCACGAGGTTGATGTCTTCGTACAAGACGTTTGATCTGAAAGCGGCTCTCCACCTGCGAAAGATGCTGTGGCAGGTCTGGAGTACTGCAGCCAGTGCTGTCGAGTCTGGCTGAAGGGCAAGTCCGCCTACCAGCTCGTCGAGCAGAGCGGGCCATTGTTGTGGAAAGTCCCTGGCAGCAATCAGAGCGACGCACTCCGAAAGCTGTATCCTCAAGCTTGCCACGCCTGGTGCATTGGCCACATTCACATCGCTGCTCAGCTGACCCAACAAAGGGACCAGTCTAGTTTTCAAGGCTTCCCTGGCTTCTCCCTGCACCAATTCCGGTTCCGCTAGATCTGCGTCGTCCTCCTCTGCCCAAGCTCTTCTGCAGATGTTCTTCAACTTGACGGCTGCTGCTAGACGCACTGGAGGCGTTGCGCCTGGACTGGCAATCAAATCCAGCAGCAAAGCTGAAAGGTTGGCATCCCTATTCGACTCGAGATCCGTCAGATTCTGCTCTGCTTCTCGCCGGGTAGAGGGGTTCAGCGTCTGAGAGAAGAGAGCGGCAAGCTGGCCCAGGTTGCCGCTGAGTGAAGCCATCTTGGGCTGTGACCGCCCTATCTCGTACTCCAAAAGGGCTGACGAGGTGGTGGAAGTCGATGAGAAACTTGGGCTGGCGGGGAAGAATGGCTGGGAATGGCAGAAGCGCAGCAACGCTCGGCCAAGGAGTCAAAGTCAAAGTGAAACTCGTGAGTAGTAGTAGTGAGTTGGTTGAACTTCGTGCGTGCCTCGTCGCGCAGGCAGCTGATGAATGCGCGTCTTGGTGAACCTCCACGCGCGAAGACACAAGCAACACCCGCGCTTCATGCGCACGCATGCGCGCAACAAGGCGTCTTGCAACACGCCGCGCGGCTGCTGGGCGCGACCACGTGGATATCCGGTACAGCGGGGACAACTGCCACACACGTCAGTGGGACGCGTTGGTTCACACGGCGAAAAAAGTTGAGAAAGAGAAAGAGCTGCAGCTCCGTGATCGAGGCAGGCATTGCATGGATGCACGAACCGAACAGCAGCAGAAGAACTCAAATTAACCACCGGCTCCCATTGGCGGCGACACGGATGACTCACCACTCTGGACTGCTCTACCTCGCTATACCCTCGCACTGCTCCCTGGACCATCCGTCAACACATTCCGTAGCTTTCTGACAGGGCGCAAACATTCAACATTCTCCATACAGCTACCGAAAAGAAGGATCAGCTAGCGCCAGAGCCTCATCATGCCCGATCCATTCTTTGAGCGGAAACGAAAGCGGCCCAGCAGCAAAGGGGAGGGGAGTGGCAGCGCCGGCAGTGGCAAGCGAGCCGATGCCAGCAAGACCAAGTTGCGCTTGAACGGCAAGAAGCGGCGCAATGAGGGCTCAGCGAGCGAGTCTTCAGACGGCGGAGAAGCGGTGGGAGATGCAGAGACCATGGATCTTCGACATTCCTACACACATGCGATGGGTTCCGCATCAGAAGACGAGATGGAAGAGACACCTGCTCAAGCTCGTGTGAGGCTGGCCAAACTCTACGTAGATGGTATGAAGAAGGATCTGGGTGGGGATGAGACGGGCGCGGATGCGGCACAGGCAGATGCGGAAAACATCTCTTCAAGATTGTTAGGCGTGGCGCAGAGCAGAAGTTCGCACGTGAACATCAGAGTCGCTCAGCTCATCAAACCTCCCAGAGCGGATGACGTGCTTGGAGTCAGAGGACATCAAAAGAGCGTGACTTGTGCTGCCCTCTCACTCCGAGGCGATAGCATCTTTACATCGAGCAAAGATGGCGTCATTTGCAGATGGGGATTGGCGGACGGCAAGCTCGTGAGCCGATCCGAGCTTCGGCCTCGGCATTCGTCGCAAACTTCCGATGCCCGATCCTCATCGAGGAACAAGACGCACATTCAACTCTCCTCGAGATCAGGAGCAGGACGGAAAAGGGCGAGGAAAGCCATGTCATCAGGCTCGCTGGAAGAAGCGGGAAGGAGCGCCCGGCCAGCCTTGGGCGGGACTTCAGCCTCCATGCTTGGAGAGAAGGAGGGTCACACGGATGAGATTTGGTCTCTCGCCCTGTCCGACGATGGCACGCTCCTGGCTTCGGGCGGGAGAGATAGGCGCGTCGGTCTGTGGGCCATTGAGCCACGCGCAGACGCTCGCGAACTGTCAGACGTCGCCTCATCTCGACAGACCTTGACAGCAGCCCCACGCTGGGTGGCCGGTCTATCCGGTCACAAAGATAGTGTTACTTCTCTCTCCTTTCGAGTGGGGTCGGGATTGACGGAGCTCTTCTCGGCTTCGTTGGATCGGACGCTCAAGCTGTGGGATGCGACGCAGAGATCCTACATCGAGACGTTCTTTGGGCATCAAGAGTCCTGTCTGTCCGTCTCTGCATTGCGGGGAGAGCTTGCTGCGTCTGCCGGTGGCAGGGACAAGACGATCAGGTGGTGGAAGGTCAGAGATGAGAGCCAATTGGTTTTCAGAGCTGGCGCGAGGAGTAAAGTCAGAGAAGTCATCGAAGGTGGTAATTGGAGAAGGGAAGAAGAGGAGAAAAAGTCAGAAGGTAGCGTATTTGTAGAAGGAAGCGTGGATTGCGTGGCCATGGTGGACGAGCACAACTTCATCAGCGGTGGAGACAGCGGGTGAGCAGGCTCACGAAGAAGGGGCCAGATGCTGCTGACAGAGTCGCTCGCTGACGATCGTCGTTCGGGCGTGCAGTGTCATCTCCCTTTGGTCTCTAGCCCGCAAGAAGCCGACATATACCCACTTTGCGGCACACGGCTTTGACGAGTTGCCAACCTCCTCGAGTGGCGATGCGGCGAGTGCCGATGGAGATGAGGATGATGCATCAGCGGCCAGAAGCACGACGCGACAACCTAGGCCGATTACCTCAGTAGCCGCATTGCCCTATGCTGATGTCTTTGCTAGTGGTGAGCTCCACATGAATGGCGCGGAAGCAGGGCTGCATGCTCACACTCTGTTATCATTCCGTCCGTGCAAAGGCTCACACGACGGAAACATTAGGCTATGGGCCTTGGATGCGTCCCTTCGCAAGTTCACGGCGCTCTTCTCCATCCCAGCACTGGGCTTCGTGAACAGTCTCCAACTAGCCCGACCGCGTATCCTCCCAGAGGCGAACTCGTGGAGGCGGAGAGGTGGAGTCGGGGCTTCTTTGGAGAGTTCCTCTTTGGGCTCGGAGACGATCGATGAGGACGATGTGGCCGGAGTTTCCACTTCGAAAAAGAGACCGCAAAGGGATATCGTCCTTGTAGCTGCATTGGGCCAAGAGCCCAAATTCGGGAGGTGGGCCAGCATCAAAAGAACGTCTGCTTCGAAGCGAGCGGCAGCACAGAATGTGGTACGTGGACTCACAGAGGATGCGCAACAGCTCAATGGCACGCTCGCGGATACCTCTACTGGTTTGGACGCTGCCTCGACATCGGCAAGGGTTAGGAACGGCGCTTTAGTCGTCAGGTTGCGCGTAGCAACGCCGACTGACGTGACTGCTGAATGAGGCTCCAAGGCCGCCACTAGCCAGAATGAGAGTGCAAGCACACGAGTCTCTGCTGAGCTTTCGATGCTGATTGATCATCTGCACTCCAACAATCATCAATGCTGTCTGCAAAATGCCTGATTGGACACACGTCTGCTGCCTCCACAGTGTGTCTTGAGAATTAGCGTGCGGGTGCGATTGGGTACGAGCGAGGGCGCTGTTGTGAGGAGCCGTACGCGCGTGCGCGAACTAGCCTAGCCAGAAGCGGTCGAATGCTGAGTGAGAAATCGGAATCAAAATGGACAGAAGAGTTGGAAAAGCTATTCTTTTCTGAAAGTTGGCCTCGAGTGCTTGGTCACGTGTCCGCTCCAGTGTGGAGTCGAGATCGAGCTGCATGCATGCATGGAAGCCAGAAGGTTGGCTGGCGATCAGCATCTCTTCTATCTGTGCATTCAGAGGAACCGTGTGCACCTCACTCTGCATCCCACGGCGACATCGCTACCCCTCATTCTCTATTCTGCGCTTCGCGATACCTTGCACTCGTTACTCTAGGCTTGTAGCTCGCTTCGCCGCTGAAAGAAGCATCTGCAAAAGCACGCTACGACAACGAAGGTCCGAACGTGCAACGGGGTCTGCTTCAGCCATGGCGTCTCCTGCATCCACCGAACAGCCAATTTCCGTGCTGATGGTCTGTCTAGGCAACATCTGTCGGTGAGAGATCATTTCAACATCATTTCTGTCTGAGCTTGGATCGCTTGGAGGGCTGACGTTCCGCGATCTCATCGATGCTCGCGCAGGAGCCCGATGGCAGAAGCGGTGTTCAAGGATACCGTGCACAAACATCCATCGGAACAAGTTCGCAAGGCTTTTGGTCAGATCGATAGCGCTGGTACTGGAGCGTATCATGCGGGAGACGATGCGGATCCTAGGTGAGGAGCTCGGCGTCAAGACATAGAGGACAGGAGGACCGCCGTCTGTTCGAGGCATACATTCTGGCTTTTGTTCGGGAGATCGACTTCCCTTTCCCCGAAACGGACGTCGATCTGACCTTCTTATGTCGTGCATCATCGGCAGGACACAGGCCGAGCTGCGATCGCATGGGATTAGAAGCACGTGTCGCGCTCGCAAGGTGACACAAGCAGACTTTCGAAATTTTGATTGGATCTTTGGCATGGAGTGAGTAGGCCCATTGTAAGATCTCACCACAGTATGCGCAAATGGCAACACATGCTGAAACAGTGACTCGTTGTCCTGTGCTGCGCCGCAAAATCAGCACTTCGAACGTCCGATCATTGCGAGCCTCTGCACCCAGAAATTCGCGCGCGCGTGTTGAAATATTCGGAGTTTTCGATGATTCTAGACCCATCGCGGATCCTTACTATGGCGGTGACGATGGATTCAAAGAATGCTACTTGCAATGCGTCCGGTGAGTTGTCTGTAGACTTGTGCGCCGTCGTAGGTTGTGGACGTGTCCTGCAGCTGACATCCTTGGAATCGGCTTGCAACATAGATATTCGAATGCTTTCCTGAAGCATCTAGGATTCCCGCTAGCTGCAGAAGATCCAAATTCAGCTCTTTGATACCAGACTCAGTTACAGTCGCATCATATCAGATCGAGGACCGCAACTCATCAGGTATCAATACCGCATCTTGGTATGTATGGTCACATTGGTGCGAGGGCGTGGCAGCGCCGAGGCTGTGTGTTTCCGTCAAGGCTCAGAGAAGAGGGCGTGGGGCCGCCTTGGCCCCGCTCAGGAAGGTCGAGAAGCGTTGTCGCGGTCTGCATTCTGGTCGAACTGAGGAGAGGCAGTGTACGCAGGAGGAGGGTTGCTATCTCCGTTCATCGCATCTCCTGGAAGTCTGCCTTCAGCATCGCGCGCGCCTTCTCTGCTGGGCGCTCGAACGATCCGACGAGCGTCGGCATCCAACAGCCTTTCAGCGTTTCCCTGCTCTTCGGCACGTCGTACGAAAAGAGCGAGCTGGTCGAAATCTTGATCCAGCGAACCGGGTGGCACCGCGCTCGGGCTTGCTGCGTCGGTGCTAGGGTTGCTGCTTGCATTGCCGCCGACCTGAGCTCCAGTGCGGGCCGAGGAAGAGGCGCGTGCTGCTGCCGCTGCTGCTTCTCTGGGTGTCCCATACAGAACCATTCCCCCGCTTCTCCAATCGTTCGTCCTCGTTGGAAGAGGAGCGATTGGAGCAGCGGTGGCTGGAGGTCCCCTTGCCAACCCTTGACGACGCAAAGGCGACGGTCCCGGATCTAGCGTCACGGGCGTCTCGTGCCAAACGGTCGGAGTAGTTCTGAAGCGATCGACAGCCGACTGTTTCTCCAGATCTTTTCTCGACAATTCCTCAAGAGTTTGACGATTCTTGATGTTATTTCTGATGCGGACGATGATGCAGAGCAAGATGGAGAATCCGATCGCCGAGCCAACGGCGATGATCGCTTTGAAGCCTGGTCTCAGCTCTGAGCCACCGCTGTCGCCATCGTCATCCTTTTCTGTTGCGGCGCCAAGGCCGCGACAGTAGAAGAAGCCCGTGTCCACGGCTGAAATTCTCTGCTGCGTGTTGGGATAGTAAGCAAGCTGCGTATTATTGACGTCAAGCAGGTCCAATTGCAACTGAGCCTGTGGGTAGGGTGGGCACTCCGTCAGCGATCGGTGATTCCACGAGAAGCTCGGAAGAGAGGACAGTCTTTTCTCCAAAGACTCACGGTCAGGTAACCTTGCCCTCCAGGTACTCGCCATCCAGTCGAGTTCCAATATGGTGTCAAATTGAAACGAAGAAGCTGGACTAGGGTATTGTCGGAGCTGATGCGAGGCACAAGCTCGCCGGTGGTGCGTGCCCACGCAGGCGTTGGGAAGGTGGACCTGTTGAGGTTCAGCGTTTCATCTGCTGATGGCTGAGGAGGCCATGTGAAGTTGCGCTCCACGAGGATCGGACCTGCCAAAGATGGCGCGCCGTTTCAAAAAGTCAGCGCATCGCGGGACGCATCATATCGACCAGACAAGCAACTCACCTCCTGCCCACCTCTTGTCCGTGATCTGCAGACGGAAACCGCTAGTAGTGTTGAGCTCGACGGGATTGGCATCGATGTAGGAATACACTTTTCTGCAGGACGATAGATCCTGTTGGAAAGAGACGGCTCGAACGGCCGTGAGTGATGCAAAGAGGACAATGAGAGCAGCTAGGTTGGTCAGCTGCTTCATCTTGGCCATTACGTGGATGGCCACGGGGTCGTCCGTGGTCAATTGAAGGCAACCTAGCAAAGTGAAGAGAAGATGCGAGGTAGATGGCGATATTGCTTCTTGTGATGGTAGCCCGTAATGACCAGACTGTTGCGGGTCACTGAGCGTTTGTCTTGGACCAGTGTGGCTCAAATGAGCGGTGATCGAGCGAGCCGGGTTCTTATACCTTGCCCACCATCACCCTCGAGGGCTAATCGGGATATACAGGCAGCGGCGAAAGGCTCGGGCAAGAGTTCCTCCGAGGTACCGGGCGGGGCTAAGATGCTTAGCGCTCACTGCGACACACCCTTGCGCTTGCAGCACTGACAGCACAGCGTCAGGCACCGATGGACGCATGCATCGACGAGGTATGAACTTTTGTAGTGAGCTGTAGCTGAGCATGCACACAGTTCACAGCGCGACGTGCCAAGTGAGCAGTATGAAAACATGCCATCTGGTCGGGTCCATCGAGTCATCTCCCGATGAAGTCTTGCCATTCCCAGAGGCCCCACAAAGGAGCAGCAAGCAGCACCGGACACGCTCATCGCACGCGGAGTCGAAACTCACGCCTTGCCGTTTCGTGCTGGTGTTGGATCGACTCCGACGCTTGCCTTGCCCACGCATAGGTGCATGCTATGAGGAGGATAGGCGCTCAAAACGACTCCTCACATGGTGACCACCCGCTGCGCAAGTCCTGCACCTATTATTACTGCACCTGCTATTGTCATTGTTGCCTGTCACCACGCCCACCGCTCTGACTCGTCAGTCACAGCAGAGGCGTGACTTGCATATCGAAGCGTCGAAAAGGAAGCTAACGCAACACAGCCCCTGGTTGCCTCATCCCACAGAACGTTGAATCCGACGCCTCGGAGAAATAACTCGACGCGCCTATAGTACTACTGTATCAGAGCATAGTACCACGATCACCGGTTTCACACTCTGACTGAACCTTCACGCTTCATTTTAAGCAGACATTCATCTAGATGGCTCACATCCCTGCCCCTTCAATTGGCGTGTGCACAGCTTGATTGCTTTTGGAAAGGCCGGAACAGCAAGTCGTTGCGCTTAGCAAGGGGCTGGTGGGGGGTCTTTGTCAGGGCGGATGGTCAAAGAGGCAAATGACGTCCTCGAGACGCCTAGCGCCCCACATTGCATGAGCGTTCCTGCATCAATGTACCGCAGGATATCCAATGTGAATACACTACTCACGCGACTTGCCAAGCCCGGCTTCGCCCGCACCTGCACTCGCTGGGCCGATTGGCCGTCGGTTGATGCGGACCAATTCATTCGTACGAGAAAGAACCTGGAGCATGGTCACGTGTTGAGAAATGTCGATTTTTATTCTTGATTCGATTCCAGGGTTGAGAAAACAAAATCTTGATGATTGCGACACCGCCATTTGAGGGCAGATTTGCAGATCCTCTTCGCAACCTGCATGACGCCTCAACATAAGACTCTAAGCTATCTCCGATACTAGCGACTCTCACTTGAGCAGCATCAGCGGCTAGACTAGCGAGACTTATGATCGCGCGCCCTCCAAACGTCCTCTCTTCCCCACCCCCGCGTCACCACACACCCTTCCCTGCAGCAAAAATCGGCTCAAGATGCCCACAGCTACAGCATCCACTTCTAGCGCCTCGACACGCCATCTACGTTTTCGCGGCCACACCAACTTTCGTCAGCGTCTGATTTTATCATGTTTGACGGGTCGACCGGTGCGCATAGACGCTATCCGTCCCGACGACACCGAGCCAGGCATCCAAGATTTCGAAGCTGGATTCTTGAGGCTGATAGAAAAGATGACGAACGGAACAGTGGTGGAGATCGGCTACACCGGTACCTCTGTCTCTCTTCGACCTGGCACCATTTCGGGAGGAGATGTGACGCATGACTGTGGCGTTTCCAGAAGTGTGGGCTACTACTTGGAATGGATCGCTGTGCTCGCGCCCTTTGCTAAAAAGGAGGTGCGCTTGACGCTCAAGGGCATCACTACGGGAACAGGAGACGCAGGTGTGCGTGCGGTCGCACAATAAGCTCAGCGCTGTTAGTCAGCCATCGCATGCATCACCACAGGCTAATCATACCCTTTCGCTCCCGCAGGTCGACATTCTGCGCACAGTCACTCTACCGCTGCTCTCGCAATTCTTGCCGGAAGGTACAGCATTCGCGTCGCCCTTGGAGCTGCGCGTAATTTCGAGAGGAATGGCCCCGGGTGGAGGGGGTGCCGTACAATTCAGATCGCCGCTCTTGCCAACTACGAGCGGACTGAGAGCGCTGAACTTCAACGCTACTGGGAGAGTCAGGCGGATACGCGGCGTAGCTAGCGCGGTGCGAGTCAGCCCAAACATGGCGAGCAGGCTGGTGGATAGCTCAAGAGGTGTGCTGGGCAGGTATATTCCTGATCTGTACATATTTGCAGATGTATTTAGGGGAGAGGAGGCTGGACGGTGAGTGACTGCTGCACATGAAGCTGCGTCGCATACAGCGTAGCATGTGCACTTACATCAACCGCGTCCTCCTCCGCATCCCGTGCAGCTCGCCGGGATTTGCACTGTCACTAGTATCGACGTCCACGACGGGTGCGCTTCAATGCGCAGAAGTTTTGTCGACGCCAGGCACGCCACCTGAAGAAGTGGCTGAGAAAGCCTCTCGCAGTCTCTTGAGCGAGATAGCATCTGGCGGCTGCGTGGGCCGACAGCACCAAGCCCACGCTTTGCTGCTCATGGCTTGCGGTCCCGAAGACGTGTCCAAGATTAGGTTGGGCGCTCTCACACCCACAGCTATACAGATGTTGAGGGATATCAAGGAATTTACAAGCGTCGTCTTCAAAATTGCAAGCGCGAACTCTGCTGGTGGACCTGCTGTGGAGCGGCCAAGCAAGGCGCAGGGTCAGACAGGGTCGGACAGCGAAGAGGAGGAAGAGCTGGAGGAAGAAGACATTCAGACTGCACGGATACAGCCTCAAGAGCTGATTCTGACGTGCGTGGGTGTGGGCATTCGCGGAGCACGCAAAGCGGCTTAGGGCGAGCATGACCCGTCTGCGAATCATATGTCACGTTCAACAATCCCGCGTCACTCTCGTGAGACCTTCAGATGCTGCAGCCTCAAAGTCACAGACACATGGCACTGATGGAGTAGAGATGATGAAGACAGCACATGCACGAATCTGAACACTCTGGTATAGACACGTTAATACACGAGAAGCGTGGCGCGATGTGATGGGATAGATGCGCGACCTCGACGTTGGGTGACTGCATCGAAGAAGCCGCAACGTGCAATACGCTACCAGCCCTTGTGATGAAACGAGCCCCATTCGCTTGCTGATCTCCTATCAGGGTCGTAGCCGCCCCCAGGTCTGGGCAAAGGTCCATCGGTCGGGGACTCATCCGAGTCCGATTCTTCTCGTGCATTTGACCCAAAACGACCTTGATTCGAAGCCGCCTGAGCAACAGGGGCACCTCCACGAGTCATGTTCAGATTGCCCGCTGCCAGTCGTTGTTGTCGCAATTGTTCCTGCTGCACGAGGCCCGAATGATCCGAACGACTTCGCGTTGCACCGGGTGGAGCTGCCGAGGTGAGAGGCCTCAACGGTCCTCCGCCTAGGACAGTGAAGTTGCGATTGTGTGCTGGGGGCGCAGATGGAGGCGGTCTGGAGTCCGAGTCTCTTTGCCGTTCTTGCTGCTCTCTCGCTCTATCCTGCCGTTGCCTCGCTCGCTCACGCTCCTGCTGTTGAGCAGGTGTCTCGCGAGGAGGCAGGGGCGCCAGCGGAGCTCCTATGCCCAGCATCCTGTTTCTACTCTGCCTTTCCCAGAGCAAGTTTTGCCTGATCGACTCTGACAATTCGTCTCGCAGCATGTTCCTCCTCGTAGTGCGAGGCGTTTGAGGAAGAGCGCCCGAAGGTAGAGCTACTGGAAGCGATGCTCGGTGCATGGGCACTGCGCCGGTACTAGTCGGTCGACTTGGCCCTTGTTCCGAGAGCTGTTGCCAGCCTGCTCCAGTCTGTGCTTGCGCTCGTTGGCGCAAATGGAGATCCGTGCTCGATCCGGTGGGTGTCTCATCGCTCTCCTGTTGCACAACAATCTGTGCAGCTAGCTCTGCGGCTTGGGTGCGCGGGCTGGGCGGACCTCGAGGCCCAGCCTCGCCGTAAGTGTAATTCGTGCTCTCTCTTTCCCGGCTTTGGCTCCTGTCCTTGCGTCTCAGAGAAGCGGCACTATGCGGTCTCTTCGTAGCGGAGCCAAGCTGGCTCAATCGCTGCAATGCCGCGGTGCTGGCCGAAGGCCGCAGCGGCCCGCTCTCGGGACTAGCTGCAGCAGCTGCGCTGCTGCCAGCAGAGCTCCCGAGTGTGCCGACATCATTCCTTGTCGAGCCACTGCGAGCTGACGCAGAAGAGCCAGGTCGCTCGCGTGGTAAGTCGCCAAACTCGGCTTGCATTGGGGTCATGCTGCTAATGGAGGTGGACGACCGAGATGCAGTCATGTTGAGCACCGGCAGAGCTACTGCACTCTTGCTAGTCCGCAGACCATTGTCGCCCACAGGATGCGCTGTTGGGTGTTGTCGCGGCAGCAGACCACCCTGACCAATGGGCTGCTTCGATACTCGCGGAGCCTGTGATGTGTCTTGAGATCGCTCACGTTGCTGATTGGTGTTGATCTGAGATAAAGCTAGGCCTGATCCGAAGGGACGATGGCGCAAATCTGCTGCTGAGGCGTGCGGGCGACCTTTCAGCTGCCCGGGCGGAGGGTGGGGAGCTGCCTCGGGATGGAAGATGGAGCTCAGTAGGCCTCGCACCGGCGGAGATTCAGCAGCAAAGGCCGCATGGTCACCAGCTTTGTCTCCACCCTGTGCGCCTTGCCTCCCATCGCCTACCTCGTCAGCGTGACGCAAATCGGCCGCAGATTGAGAGCGCACAGGGATCTTCTGAAACATGGCTGCTTGCCGCTCCTCTTCTTGCCGCTTTAAGGCCGCCAACATCTCCTTCCGCTCCTGGGCGCTATCGACGGTAGAGTCGGATGACCAGTCACCATCATCATCGTCTTCATCTTCTCCCTTGACTTGTGCCTCAGTTGCACTGATGGGCCCACGCGCTTGTTGAACAGTCTTGTCATCCTGCCTCGCACCTCCACTTTCAGCCTTTACAGGTCTTTCATCTGCCTCCCACCCGTCCTCTTCGTCCGAATCATCGTCGCCCATTGTAAAGGTAACAGGCTTTCCTTTTTGCGCTTTTGGCGCTACCGTGACTACTTCGTTGGCAGAGGCTCGTGGAGGTTCAGTAGTCGAGGGTGGTACTGCGCTTGTGCTTGGGGCTGCATCGCCCTTGCGATCCGCAGATGCATCTTTAGCATGCCCTTGCGCTTTTGAAGACGGCTGATGTGGCTTGTGTCCACTTGCTGATCGTCCATGAGCTCGGCCACGTAGCGCTGCAGAGCTGTAGTGCCCCGGCCCCCGATGAAGCCCTATTCCTGAGCGGTTGCGTTGGTGGTGGTGTGTGCCAGTAGCATGAAGCGCGTGCCGGGTGCTTGAGGTGATGCTCTGCTTCCCAGTACTTGGCGCAGGCGAAGACGCTCTGGAGCTCTTGGCTTCATCACCGTCGCCAGCATCGTTGCTGCGATCTTGGACGCTCGATCCGCGGTCCACGTCTGCGCGGACTGCCGCAACGGCGCGCTGCGAGTCCTCGAGAAATGCCGTTTGACGTGGTGCAACTGGGGTTGCAGGGCTCGGTACTCGAGTGCTGCTTTCGCTCATATCCTCAAAGCCATCCTCTGCTCTGGACGTAGAGCCTGAAGGCGCTCCCGATCTTGCATCCGGCATGGCTTCGTCGTCTTCAAAGCTCGAAGGCTGAACAAAAAATTTCTTTCTCTTTTGCTCGACAGTGCTGTCTTGCTGGTCAGGCCGGTTCCCTGAACTATTTTGCACCGCAGGGGCAGGATCTTTCGAGACGTTTTGGCCAGCTGCTGAATCGGCAGAGCCGCGCTCATTGGGGTAAGTTGGAAGTTTGGTTCCAACTGATTTGGACTCACGAGAGCTCGCAGTTCCTTGTCCAGCTACGTCTGGAAGCTCACTAGGCCTAAGCCTCGGTGACAGAGACTTGCGAAGTTCTCTGTAGGCGCGAGCAGCCGCCGTCGTCGGAGGTCGGCGTTTATGAGCAGAAGTACTAGCCGTAGACGGACCGGCTTCTGACGCCTGATTTCGCGAGGAAGAACGAGACGGCCCGATCGCTGAACCTTGATTTGGCACTGCCGTGTTGGGCTTTACTGGCGGTCTTTCGTCCCTCAACGCGCCCGCACTTTCTCGCCGCTTCGACTCTGCGCCCTCATCTGCTCCAGCGTCCGCCGGCGCAGACTTGGTGCTCGCCACTGATGGCGTGGCTGTTCGCTCATAGTCGCTGGCTCGAGACTGCGTCTCCTTTCTCTGTCCTGCATCGGCGCTGAGTGCGCGACCCAAAGCAAGACGGGGTTGCGAGCTATCGGAGAAAAGTGCCCTCCCAGGGATGAGATTGCTGATCTCGTCCCGAGCCAGATCAGCAACGGCAGCTGTGAAGCTAAGAGGCCGTCGCTGACGACTGTATTGGGAGCTTTCTAAAGCAGCACAGGAAATCTCGCTGGAAATAGAGTGACGAGAAGCTTCGATGTGACGTGGAGGCACCTCTCGAGGTTTGTCGGAGCTTGACGACGACGGCCTTCTTGACAAGATTGGCTCCAGCGTCGTTCGGCCTCGTGTGCTCAGAGGTTGCTCGCCATTCGCCAGAGGTCCGCGCACTGCAGCCCTCAAGGTGGGAAATCGTGCAGACGAAGCTCCTAAACGAGAAGCGCTGATTGTTGGTGGGTTTGCTTCAGGGGAATCGATGCTCTCTGTCTCGCTGCTCCACTCTCCTTCTTCCTCTTCACCCACCGCCGCTTCGGAGCTGCGTGTTGTTGCAGCTGGATTCTCAGTTGATTCTGCACTCGCTCTCGGTGATGATGTTTCTGTCAGCGAGCCAATGTCTGTATGCAGTAGATCAAGAGGTTCGGGCACCAGCTGAGCTTCACGGAACCAGAGCCGCCAACTCAGATTTTCCAGCCTCCGACCGCTTTCGAGGGATGGTGCGCACTTTGTGAACACTTCGAGCAAATCAGATGGTCAGCAAGGGGGCAGGATGGGATGCAGGCGCAGGCGTAGCACAGCGCAGACATACGCAGTCATGACTCACAGCTCCATAAGCTGGCCAATTGGTGTAATGTGAGGTCATCGAGCTTGCTGATCGAAGAGGTGGACAAGCTCAGCACTGGGGCTGGCAAAGTGTCGGACAGCATGACGTTGCTGGTGTTTGTGAGACCCTCTGTGTCTGCTACGCCGAGCAGGCGATTTCGCTACCTTTGTCGTTGATTTGATGCCGCTGTACTAGTCATATCGAAGTCTTGCCGGGTCGCTTCATCAAAAGAGCGATGGCTCTGCGAGCTGGTCTTCAAAATAGGGAAGGATGGTGATGGTGCAGATCTTACCGGAAGGGCAAATTGAAAGCTTGCATCTACGAGGGTCAGGATAGAGCTGCTGTCACGCAGGATGGACACTAGACACGCTCTATAGCTGCCTTGCGTGCGGTGCTGAGACTTTGAAGAAGCGTGAATCAGTGCACAGATTCGCGTGTTGGGGCTGATGAAGAGGCAGTAGATGCGGAAGTGGAAGTGGATGTGGACGTGGATGTGGATCAGTCGCCGTGAATGCGGGGCAATACTCACACTCGCTCGACGTACCGCACGACGAGTGTGAGTCTCAATGAAGTCGAGAGAGGGCGCCGGCCGCCGCCGACTCCTGCTGAAGCGCTCGCTGCTGCTGCATATATGCCCGGCAGCTTGTGGCTGAGGATGATCTTGACCGAGAGTTGCCCTGCGGCTCGACTGCGCAGCTATTTCAGACGCGCGGGGTCACAAGGTGCCTGCCTGCCTGCCTCACCGTGTAGGCTGCGTCGCTGCTGCTGCTGCTGCTGCTGCTGCTGCTCTTGGCCACTTCTGCTGCTACTCTACGAAACGGTACCGGCAGGTCGTCATGCAAACACACATGACTCTCATCAAGCTGCACCCTTGAGCGAGACCATGCACAGTCAAGTACCGGTGCTGGGTACGTATACAGCATGGCATCAAGGCGAGTCACCGCCTTGTTGAATCACCCCACAGACCGGCTTGTCTCCTGGAGCGCATCTCTCATCATCGCGACGCGTACAGTACATTGAGTCAACCAACATATTTCACTCGCTTAAGCACCTTGTGTCCGACGCCCGCTGTCAGAAAATTAAGCTCTGTGCGTCGCGGGAAGGGACTCGAGCGTGGGCTTCGTGTTGCATGTGGAGCTTCGCGCTGGTCCTTGATGTTCATATGCTAGAGTGATACCTACAGCCGAAGTCACATGCCATGCGTGCAAGCAGCGGACTGGGACGCGGTGCTATATTGTTGATATTTATGCACCCCTTGACCAGTTGTATGAGACGAGATGAGCACATGGCACACAGGTCTCGACAATGACACTGTGAATCACAATCACAATCCCGAACCAGTCGCGCGTGCGTCGAGTACGTGCTTTCCTCAATCACGAATCAGAATGAACCCCACACCGCGTTGTTCTTATTTGGCCGGAAACGGGAGCGCCCGCGGTCTGCGTCAGCTATAGCTGTATAGCAGCATGCAGCAGCGTTTCACCCGTCTTTCCCCTCCCCACCCATCAAAACCATCAGCAGCCGCCGCGTCACACCAATTCTACCTCGGCAATGCTTCTGCTGCCCCGGCCCCGTCTCCCGCACTCTTTCAACCCTCTCTCGTGCGAGATGTGCGCGCGTCACAGCAGCAGGGTGCTCGCGCGCCTAGCTGATGCATATACGCGGATTTCATATGATGGAGCACGAAATTTGGATCGTGCGAAGCGTGCGCGCGTGCCGCCCTGTATAACAAGCTCGATCGAATCAGCCGGTCGTTAGTCTGCCGCGGCGCCCGGAGATCTAATCAGCATCAGC